CAAATTTGGTGAAGATCGGTTCAGATATAGCTATAGCTCCCATATATACTCTTTATCCGATTTGATATATTTGTTACCCACAGCCGTAATATGCACCCCGTAACAACGATATTCAGGGAAATATATTAAATACAGCTCAGAAATATCTTTGCCAAATTTTATCGAGATCGGTTCCGATTTGGATATAGCTCCCATATATATCTTTATCCGATTTCAAATTAATTGTGCACCAAATGGGCAATACAAGTCCGAATTTAAAGGCATATTTAGTCCTTTGAACTTCAAATTATAATTATAATCATAGCGTGTATGATTGAATTCTCCCATTAAAAATTTTAATTGTCAAATAGTATGGAATTTTGCACATACAACGTGAAAATAAGTATGCCAAATTTGATCGAAATCGGTTCAGATATAGCTATATCTCCCATATATATTGTTCATCCGATTTGTTATTTTTGTCCTCCGCAGCTGTAATATGCACTCTGTAACAACAATATTTGGGGAAATATATCAAGTACAGCTCAGAAATACATTTGCTAAATTTTATAGAGATCGGTTCAGATTTGGATATAACTCCCATATATAGCTTCGTCCGATTTACCATTTATTGTGCACCCAACGTCTAATATTTGTCCAAATGGGATGGAATTTGGCACTTACGACCTAATTGAGTTTAGAAGCTAGTATATCAAATTTGGTGAAGATCGGTTCAGATATAGCTATAGCTCCCATATATACTCTTTATCCGATTTGATATATTTGTTACCCACAGCCGTAATATGCACCCCGTAACAACGATATTCAGGGAAATATATTAAATACAGCTCAGAAATATCTTTGCCAAATTTTATCGAGATCGGTTCCGATTTGGATATAGCTCCCATATATATCTTTATCCGATTTCAAATTAATTGTGCACCAAATGGGCAATACAAGTCCGAATTTAAAGGCATATTTAGTCCTTTGAACTTCAAATTATAATTATAATCATAGCGTGTATGATTGAATTCTCCCATTAAAAATTTTAATTGTCATGCGGAGCTCTAATAAATTAGCAAAGTGGTGTAGGGTATCATAAAGTCGGCCCCGCCTGATTTTAAGACTTTCTTTACTGGTTTTATCTCACACTGTATATGGAAAAAAACAGACATTGGCTGAGGGTATATCCTAGTTTAACTGTGCTACTTATTTTCGCAAATATTTTCAATATTTTCAAACAAATTGGGGTTTGTTGTTTTAATGTTTAAAATCACAATCCATGCCATCAAAATAAGAAACATCGTTTCTAGATAATTGTTTTTGTTTACTTTTTCAAATAACACTGTGCGACAAAATTCAATTTTTTCAATAGTTACGGGAAATCCAGTAGATTATGAAAGTATAGCTAAAAACAGAAGACCCATGTATAGGCATTTTGAAAGTTGACATCGAAAAGTAACCAAAATAGAGGGGGTACGTTCTCCCCTCTCCACACTTTTGGAAATTTTCGGATGGATAAATATTCTTAGTAATCCGTCCATTTTAAGTAGGTAGTGTCTTCAACAAAATTGCAGAAAAAAAGGAGGAAGGGGATTTTGTAGCGGAGGAGAAGAGCATTTTAGTTGGGCCAAGAAGAGGGTATTTTTGCTCCTTTTTTAAATATGATTAAAAACTAAAAACGGCATCGTAGGAAATCAAAATATTCTTCCACATTATTTGTCATAAAATTCTACTGTTGGTCTCGAAAGACGTCAAGAGCCTAAATCTTGCCTAAATGCTAGGAATTCATATACAGGGTGAGATGAAAAACTGCAACAAACTTCAGACTGCTGTCTAAGTTACTCGTCCGACAGCTGTTAAAATTATTCTAGTGGCAACTCATTATAATGTTTACAAGCGTACAAAAGCATTTTGGTGAGAATTTTCCAGAAGAAAAGTTTGTTCGTGATGGAATTCAAGCGTGATAGTGGGATTTCTTTGTATTTGGCTGGCTATCGTTAGAGCACTCCAGCATTTAAATGTGAATACATATTTTGTGTCTCGTACCATCGCTCGTTATCGTGATACTGGTAAAGTAGCCCAACGTCAAGGAAGTGGACGGAAGAAAACAGCAACATCAGCAGAAATGGTTCGAAAAGTAAAGAAGTTACTTAATCGAAACCCGCGTCGCAGTGTCCGAAAAATGGCTCGTGAGCTGAACATATCGCAATATTCCATTCGGCAAATATTGAAAAATGAGCTCGAGGTAAAGCCATTGATTTTCCAAAAAGTGAAAGGACAACAGAAAGAAAATAGACTCAAAAGAGCTAAAGAGTTGCTTCGCTTGGCCGAAAGTTGTGAACTGCCGAATTTGGTTTTCTCCGATGAGAAAACACTCGTTGTTCAGTTGTTTTTAAACAAACAAAATGATCGCGTTTACTTGCCAAAGAGGTCATGTCAGCTGAAAATGTGCACCTTTGGTTGGCCACCAGAACTAAAGCGCCGGCCATGGTGATGGTGTTGGCCGCTAAACAGCCGATGGTCGCTCTCCGCTCATATTAATCTACCGTGCCATCAGAATAAATGCTGAATATTATGGCGAAAATATTTTGGAGGGTGTATTAAAGTCTTGGGCACGCAAACATTTTGGTCGCAGACCTTGGATATTCAGGACTCAGCACCATCGCACTCAGCACGTGCCATCCAAGAATAGTTACAAAATGAGGTTCTTCGCTTCATTTCCAGTGCTCAATGGCCACCAAAATCTCCGGATACCAATCCGTTGGACTATTGTGTCTGAAGTATTTTGGAAAGCAAGGTTGGCACTAAAAAATACAAAAGTGTCGATCACCTCAAGTAAGCGCTTCGCCGGGAATGGGCCAAAATACCGCAGAGCAATATTGGGACAGCGTGTGACCGTATCATTGGCCGTTTGAAAGTCATAATTCGTACCAAAGGTGACCAATTCGAACAAATCTAAACTTATTCCAAAATTTGATGCTATTTCCGACATTTTTTGCTTTCATTCAATAAAATTTAAGAAAAAAAAGTGTAAAAACAAGTAAAAACATTAAGTTCGGCCAGGTCAAACTTTTAATACCCTCCACCTTAGGGTAAAGGAAACATTAGAAGAAATGTGGCAAAAACCATTAAAATGCCGATTATCGGGAGGTGCCGTTATATGGGGGCTATACCAAATCGTGGACCTACACATGCAATGTGTCAAAAATCACCAAAATAAAAAATATGTAGGGAGGTACCGTTATGTGGGGACTATACCAGAACGTGGACCGATATATCTCATTTTCAATACCAACCATCCTAGACACAATAAAAATTGCTCTGCTAAATTTTAGCGCTCTACGTCAAATAATGTGGGCTGCATCGTGATTTCAACAGACAGACGGACATCGTTAAGTCGACTTAGAATTTTACGCTGATTATGAATATACACTTTATGGGGTCTACGACGAATATTTAAGGATGTTACAAACGGAATGACAAAGTTAATATACCCTCCTTTCCAAGGTGGAGGGTATAATTATGGCCTTTGACTTTGTTGCAGTTTTTTTTTATCTCATACATAAAGTGCGCGAATTCTGAGGAATCTTTATCATAAAATTTCCAAAAGTGTGGAAATTTCCCCCTACTCTGGCCAATACACGTGTTCTCTTTTTATACCCTCCACTTTGGAAAGGGGGGTATATTAACTTTGTCATTCCATTTGTAACATCCTTAAATATTCGTTTTAGACCCCATAAAGTATATATATTCATAATCAGCATAAAATTCTAAGTCGATTTAACGATTTCCGTCTGTCTGTCTGTTGAAATTACGATACAGCCCACATTATTTGACGTAGAGCGCCAAAATTTAGCAGAGCAATTTGTGTTGTATCTAGGATGGTTGGTATCAAAAATGAGATATATCGGTCCACGTTCTGGTATAGTCCCCATATAACGGTACCTCCCGATATGCGGTATTTTGATGATTTATGCCACATTTTTTCACGGATTTGTCTGAAAATTGGTATTTGTAGGTCATAACGTGTCCCTGTGATGTGGCAAAATATTGCATGTATAGGTCCAAGTGTTGGTATAGCCCCCTTATAAAGGTACCTCCCGATATTCGGTATTTTAATTTTTTTCCCACTTTTTTTCACGGTTTTGTGTAAAAATTGGTATTTTTTGGTCATAATGGGTTCCAGCTCCGGTGGCGAAACATTGCATGTATGGGTCCATGATTTGGTATAGCCCCCATATAACGTTACCTCCCGATATTCGGTATTTTGATGGTTTTTGCCGCATTTTTTCACTGATTTGTCTAAAAATTGGTATTTGTGGGTCATAATGGGTCCTAGTTCGTGTGGCGAAACATTGTATGTATAGGTCCACGTTTTGATATAGTCCCCATATAACGGTACCCCCCAATATTCGGTATTTTGATGATTCTTGACACATTTTTTCAAGAATTTCTCTGAATGTTGGTAGTTGTAGATCATAATGGGTCCCAGTTCGTGTGGCGAGTCATTGTAATTATAGGTCCACGTTTTGGTATAGCCCCCATATAACGATACCTCCCGATATTCGGTAATTTGATGATTTTTGCCACATTTCTTCACGGATTTGTCTGAAAATTGGTATTTGTAGGTAATAATGGGTTCTAGCTCCTTTGGCGAAACAATGCATGTGTAGGTCCACGATTTGGTATAGCCCCCATATAACGGTACCTCCCGATATTCGGCATTTTAATGGTTTTTGCCACATTTCTTCTAATGTTTCCTTTACCTCAAGGTGGAGGGTATTAAAAGTTTGGCCCGGCCGAACTTAATGTTTTTTTTACTTGTTTAGCTCTACTTTTATATAGTGCTGGATTTTCCGCGTAATTATTTTTTATTTTACACTGTGCAATGTAATTATATGACTATTTTCCATCAATTATAAAATAATAAATAAAATTTCAATTAAAATTCATTTTTAATGGAATCAGGTAATTATGGAAAAACACATGTCTGACTGACTGCAGTAGCAAATGGATTGGATCTCATTGAATAGTTTTAAAACACTTTCGAGTTGTCGATGTCAGAAGCTATTCAATGATTATGGTCATGGTTTTGCGTATTTTTCTATTTATTGGTTTTTGTGTAGCAGTAAGTTACAATCGAATAAATATTCCCATGCATATTAAAGTTGTCCCTGTTTTAGGCCACATGTGGCGAAAGTTATTTGAAGATTACCAAAATTGTGTGCGAAACACATCCGAGCTTTATTCACAATCATTCGTGTGCCCTGAAACCGGTTAATCGTTACAAAACTTTCATTTTGATGGACTGTTGGATAAAGACTCAATTAAGGAACTCATCGGTAAGTGTTTGTTAATATGTTTGTTTGCTATAAAAATGTGTGAAATGCCTGGCCAAATATTGCCTTCTTTGTTTGTTTAGCAATGACAGTATACAATTTGTTTAATTATTGTGTACCTATATTTAAAACCATGAGAATAAAGACGGGTAGGGAGAGGAGTTATTACCGATTAAAACAGTATTGTTGGAATTTAACAACATACATTTTTAGATCATGGTAGAATTAAGAAGGTAATGTTATGTAATCATTGCTCTCTTTCAGAACTGAAATAATGTAAAATTTTGTGCTACGATAGCCGATTTTTCCTTTATGATATCGAAAATAAGTTAAAAAGTATCAGTCGATGAGAAATATTTAGATATAGCAAGTAGTAAAAAATCGCTGACTGGTTTCGCAAGTTATGACAGATAAAAGTATTGAAAATTGTGACCCTATGTGGGTGAGGTACCAGAAGGGGTTCACAGATATATATCATCTTCACAACCGATCCTATGTTAGCAAAAATGTTTGTATGTGTGAAATTTGAAGAGGGTTGGATGCTTATTTCGATTTCTTTGAGCGATTTGTTTTTCAAAAATCTTGAACCCGATGTGGGAAACGTTCCGGAAGAAATGGTCCGATCTCTACAATCTTTATAAAAGATCTTGTGATGATGGAAATATAGAGATGCGATAAGTCTGAATGTTTAGGTCATTGAAAATTTTGACCCTTTGTGCGGGATTACCACAGGGAAAGGTCCGATCTCTATCATCTTTATAAATGAATTTGATATTGATAGCGATATTGTGATGTGCTATTTTGAAAGGAATTGGGTGGTTATTTCGTGTTTTATGACCTTCATAGATATTCAAAATTTTGACCATTGGTGGGGAGGTACTTGAAGGAGTGGACCGATATGTTCCATCTTCACAACAAACCTTCTAGTAATAATAATATTGAGATGTGAAGACAATCGGACTCTTACATTACATTTTATAAATGTTACAATTATCCAAAATGTTGACCCTTTGTGGGGGAGTTACTTGATTGAGTGGACCGATATTGTCCATGTTCGCACCTGACCTAGTACTGATGCAATATTTTTGTGAAAAATTCGACCTTTTGTGGGGAGGTACCAGAAGGAGTAGAGCGATGTTGATCTAAGTTTAATAACAATATTACAATATTAATATTACGTGCACTAAGAATTAAATAATGAACATTTAAATTGCACTACCACTAACCATTCAGTGATATTAAAAAAAAATTTTAATAGCACTACCACTAAATTTAGTGATTTTTCAATAAAAGTTGCAGCATTTAATTTAGTGGTAGTGCTATTGAAATTTCACTACCACTAAAAATTTAGTGATAGTGCAATTTTTTTAAAATACCACAGTGATAGTGCAATTATTAGTGCACTAAAAATACAGTGCATACTAAGTTTGCACCATAACGGACAGGGTTGGGCATATTGCACTAAATTTTTAGTGCACTAAGAATCAAATAATTAGTGGTAGTGCAATTTATAATTCCACTACCACTAAAGGGTTAGTGGTAGTGAAAAATAAATTGCACTACCACTAACCGTTTAGTGATATTTAAAAAAAAAATTGCACTACCACTAAATTTTAGTGGTAGTGAAATTTTAATAGCACTACCACTAAATTTAGTGATTTTTCAAAAAAATTTGCACTACCACTAAATTTGGCGAAGCCAAAAAAAGCACTATGTATATAAATATTATACCACCTATAATGAAGTTTATTGAAGTGAGTAGGGAACAACAATCCAGAATATATAGTACATATTCATAAAATTTGATTACTTTTCTAAATAGCACTAATTTAGTGCTATTTTTTATGAAATACCACTAATTTAGTGCAAGTTTTTTCAAATACCACTAAATTTAGTGGTAGTGCTATTGAAATTTCACTACCACTAAAATTTAGTGGTAGTGCAATTTTTTTTTAAATATCACTAAAGGGTTAGTGGTAGTGCAATTTATTTTTCACTACCACTAACCTTTTAGTGGTAGTGGAATTAAAAATTGCACTACCACTAAATGAACAGTGATAGTGAAATTATTAGTGCACTAAAAATACAGTGCATTATGCCCATCTCTGATAACGGATACTCCCTTTGAGAGTTATCGTTCGCACCATCAAACCAGACAGACGAACGGACATCGCTAGATCGACTCCAAATGTCCTGAAACGGATTTGGTTCAAATAGACCTAGGGTCTAAAACTGTTATTTCGATGAGACCGATTTGGCCGTATCAAGTAATATATACCCTCTCTAGCCAAATGGATGAGGGTATACAAAAACCAGTAAGGAAAGCTCAAAAGTCGGGCGGGGCCGACTGTATGATACCCTACACCACTATGCATATTTAGTAGAGCTCTCGTAAAAAGGTTTATACAGGGCATTTCAGAGCTCTATGAGATATTTGGTACAAAATCAAAATCTATCTAATTCTATCTAATTCTATAGCTATCTCTGAACCGGGTTTCTCCAAATTTTACGTATTAGCTTCTAGACTGAATTCGGTCTTATGTACGAAAATTCAGGTGATTTGGGCTGATATTGACCATTTAGTGCACATTTAACCCGAAATCGGATGAAGATATATATGGGAGCTATATCCAAATCTGAACCGATTTCGATAAAATTTAAAACAGCTGTTCCTGTGCTCCATCTAATACCTGGTACCAAATATCACGATTGTGGAGTGAATATTACGAATGTATGGGACTAAAACACTAAATCGGATGAAACATATATATGGATGCTATATCTATATCTGAACCGATTTTCACTAAATTTGATATACTTGCTTCTAGGCTGAATTTGGTCCGATGTACTAAAATTCAGTCCATTTGGACTTATATCGGCCATTTGGTGCACAATTAACCCGAAATCGGATGAAGATATATATGGGAGCTATATCCAAATCTGAACCGATTTCGATAAAATTACAAACAGCTATTTCTGGGCTGTATCTTATATCTGGTACCAAATATCATTCTTGTGGAGTGCATATTACGAATGTGAGAGGCTTTAACACCAAATCGGATAAAACATATATATGGGAGCTATAGCTGTTTCTGAACCGATTTTCTCCAAATTTGTTGTATTTGCTTTAAGGCTAATCTTGGTCATATGTGCCAAAATTCGGGCCATTTGGGCTGATATTGGCCATTTGGTGGTCAATTAACCCGAAATCGGATGAAGATATATATGGGAGCTATATCCAAATCTGAACCGATTTCGATAAAATTTAAAACAGCTATTTCTGTGCTCCATCTAATACCTGGTACCAAATATCACGGTTGTGGAGTGCATAGTAGGAATGTGAGGGACTTCAAGATCAAATCGGATGAAAGATATATATGGGAGCTATAGATATATCTGAACCGATTTTCTCCAAATTTGATATACTTGCTTCTAGGCCGAACTCGGTTGGGTGTGCCAAAATTCAGGTAATTTGGACTGATAGTGAACATTTGGTGCTCATTTAACCCGAAATCGGATGAAGATATATATGGGAGCTATATCTAAATTTGATCCGATTCTCACCAATTTCAATAGGGTTCGTCCTTGGGCCAAAAAAATATTGTTTGGAAAATTTCATCTCAATCGGATAATAAATGCGACCTGCATTTTGTTCACAAGAATACATGGACAGACGGACGGACGGACGGACAGACGGACGGACATGCATAAATCGAATCAGAAAGTGATTCTATGAAGGTTCTCAAAAGTAACTATGGGTCTATCTCGTTTCCTTCTCCATGTTACAAACAAATGCACAAAGACATAATACCCTTACCACTATGTGGTGTAGGGTATAAAAAACAAAACTTGCAGGTTCTGAAACTGGACCCTATTGTTTACAGTTTTTACAATTAAAATTGAGGTAGGCACAAAATTATCTCAGGTCAATTGTGTACACAAATAGATCTGTTGGTATTGAATTCGTTATAGATTAGAATATATTATTGGAGCCAAATCGATGAACAAGTTAATAGGAAAGAGGAAAATTTTACTATCTGTGGCCTATCTTTGGTCATGGTCGGATTTTTTGAAGGACATCTAACTTTACTAATGCTCCAATTTCGAAGAATTTGCTAAAAACATTTGAAAAGAACTTGAAAATTATTAAAAAAAATAAAGAACCAGTAAAGAAAGTCTTAAAGCCGGGCGGGCCGACTTTATGATACCCTACACCACTTTGCTAATTAAGTAGAGCTTCACATAAAAATTAAAAATTTTTATGGGAGAATTCAATCATACACGCTATGATTATAATTATAATTTAAAGTTCAAAGGACTAAATATGCCGAAGCATTTGTATCTTTTAAATTCGGACTTGTATTGCCCATTTGGTGCACAATTAATTTGAAATCGGATAAAGATATATATGGGAGCTATATCCAAATCTGAACCGATCTCGATAAAATTTGGCAAAGATATTTCTGAGCTGTATTTGATATATTTCCCTGAATATCGGTTGTGGGTAACAAATATAACAAATCGGATGAATAATATATATGGAAGCTATAGCTATATCTGAACCGATCTTCACCAAATTTGACATACTAGCTTCTAGACTCAATTCGGTCGTAAGTGCCAAAGTCCATCCTATTTGGACAAATATTAGACGTTTGTTCGGATGAACAATATATATGGGAGCTAGGGCTATATCTGAACCGATTTCGATCAAATTTGGCATACATATTTTCAGGCCTAATTTGGGTGTATATGCAAAATTCCATACAATTCGGGCTGATATTACACGTTTGGTGCACAGTAAAAGGCAAATCGGACGAAGATATATATGGGAGCTATATCTAAATTTTGACCGATTATTTCCAATTTCAATGGGGTTCGTCCTTGGGCCAAACAAAATTTCATTTGGATCGGGCAATAAATGCGACCTGTACTTTGTTTACAAAAATACATGGACAGACGGACAGACGGACGGACGGACGGACGGACATGCATAAATCGACTCAAAATGTGACTCTATGCAGATCATCAAAAGGAACTATGGGTCTATCTCGTTTCCTTCTGCCTGTTACAAACAAATGCACAAAGACATAATACCCTGACCACCTTGTGGTGTAGAGTATAAAAATCGTCAAAATATACCGTTTAAATGAAAACTCTTATATGGGAGCTATACGTAGACGAGGAGCTGCATACGCAATTTAAAACAATTCCTTTGAATAATGTCGCTAATATCATCAAAATACCGAAAAAAGGGAGGTACCGTTATATGTGGGGTATACAAACACGTGGACCTGCATAGTCATAGGTTGAATTTGAAACAATTGCGACAAAAAACATCAAAATACTAGATATCTGAAGGTACAGTTACATGGGGCCTAAACTAAATCGTAGACCTTTACGACCAATTGTCTCCCAGAAAAGGTAGTGCCTATTACGAACTGCAAATACCAAGTTCGGCATAATTCTGTTGAAAAATTTGACTTAGATCATTAAAAACCGAATAAAGGGAAGTACCTTCATATGTGAGTAATACAATCGTGTTGGCCTGTACAGGAAATTTTCTGTCATAGGAGAGAGTATCCATTACGAACTCTTAATACCAAATTTTAAGAAAATTCGGTGAAAACTGAGACTCAAGTCATAAACATACGGAATATCTGGAGGTACAGTTATTTGGGAAACCAAACCAATATTGACAGTCCTATGCAAAGATGTTTCTTACATGATGGGAACATATGCTGCCAAATTACCACACAAAAACTTTAAATCTGTCGGCGATTTCGTTACATCCGCATAGAATTTTATGCTGATCAAAAATATATATTTTGTGGTATCTATATTTATATTTCGAAGTGTTACAAACGGAATAAGAAACCTAATATGCCCTCCATACTATGGTGGAGGAATAAAAAAGCAGAGTCCAATGAAATCAAGATGAGAGTGAAAGTTTGGCCCTTTGACAGCTTTAAACAATGTCTTCTGGGTATCTTAGAACATGTCGTACCAAGTTGTTATAATTTGTGTCGCAACTAGAACGCAATTTTTAAATTATAAATAAAACATAAAAATTATTCTCTCAAACCGAGGTCTTCAAGAACGCCCAAAGAAAAAATCTAAAAGTGTTAAATCGTACGATGTAGGCGGCCAGTTCTGGTCTCATGTTATTATCATTTTGGTTTATGGTATTATCATTAATGTATGTTCAGCATAATACAAATATTTTTATTACTCTTTTTTACAGGTAAACCTGGCATTGTATGTTCGAAACAGCGCGAATATCTATAAACCATTCGTAATTAATGCAACAATTAACGTTTGCCAGCTCTTTGCCAAGAGTACGCAGGGTGCTTATGGAAAAATTATAAAAACAATTTTCAGCAGATTCACCAACATAAATCATTCTTGCCCCTTTTCGGTAAGTAGCTAATGATAACAAAAACTACCAAATATCGGGTAGTACCGTTATATGGGGATATACGAAGTTGTTGACCTATTACCATAAACATATATATATATTTTCATTACAGGGTCATATCTTCGTTAGAAACGCATATTGGGACTCTTCACTGTTGCCGGCGCTACCACAGAATTCATATAAAGCTGTTTTCACCTTCTACGAAGGTTATCCATTGAAAAATTATGGCTTTGTAGAATATTTTGCTGAATATATAGAAAAAAGGACTAAGTCCTGAATTCAGTCGGATGTGCCGAACAAATATTAATAAAAAATTTAATCGAGCAATGTTGTATATCTAAGATATATCTAAATCTGAACCAATATCCACCAATATTGTCAGACATACCTCTGGATTGAACTTGACAATGTGTGCTAAAATTCATTTGATATGAAATCTATATCCAAACTTGATCCGATTATCTCCAATTTAATTTTATAGGGCTCGTCCTTGGATCAGACAATAAATGCGACCTGTACTTTATTTACAAAAATACGATAAAAAAAACTGCAACAAAGTTAAACGGCATAATTTTTAAATTTTTGTTATAAAAAAATGTCGGAAATAGCATCAAATTTTACAATAACTTTAGATTTGTTCGAATTATGGCCCTTAAAGGCCAATAAAACCGTCACATGCTGCCCGAATGTTGCTCTGCGGTATTTTTGGCCAGTTCCGGCGAAGCGCTTGCTTGAGGTGATCGACACTTTGGTATTTTTTAGTGCCAACCTTGCTTTCCAAAATACCGCAGACACAATAGTCCAACGGATTGGTATCCGGAGATTTTGGTGGCCATTAAGCGCTGGAAATGGAGCGATGAATCTCATTTTGTAACCATTTTTGAGTGGCGCGTGCTGAGTGCGATCCTTTTGGAATGCGCAAGGTCTTCGGCCAAAATGTTTGTGTGCACAAGGCTTTAATACATATTCGACATTTATTCTGCGGCCATGGTCGATTAATAAGAGCGAAGAGCGACCATCGACTGTTACGGCGGTCCACACCATCACAATGACCGGCGCTTGAGTTGTGGAGGCCAACGAAGGTGCAAATTTTCAGATGACTTCTTTGGCAAGTAAGCACTATAATTTTGTTTATTTACAAACTGCTGGACAACGAATGTTCACTCATCGGAGAAAACTAAATTCGGGAGTTCACCACTTTCGGCCAAGCGAATCAACTCTTTAGCTCTTTTGTGTCTATTTTATTTCTGTTGCGGTGTAAGTTCTTGCACTTTTTGGAATTTCAATGGCTTTACCCCGAGCTCATTTTTCAATATTTGCGAATGGAATATTGCGATATGCCCAGCTCACGATTACAAATGACAGCAGTCTGAAGTTGGTTGCAATTTTCATCTCACCCTGTTATTTAAATCTGATTTGGCTCAAAAGTTCATAATGACCCGAAATATCGGTTTCATATACGGATCATCATATTTCGACGGGCTATGTCGATCTCGCTACGTATATCTATCCGTCTATTCACGTCTCAATTACGGCCCGATTATTATTTGTTTTCCTGATTTTAAGTGGCTTACTATATCGCAATTATAGACAAATCGGAGCAAAACTTTGGAACAGGTAAGAGTTTAGGTCAAATAAGGAGATCAAAAATTTTGCACAATAACTTATATTTACCGGTTGAAATCGTACGAAGAAACGAAACAATAATATGCTCCTTAATTAAAAACAAGTAAAAAAACATTAAGTTCGGCCGGGCCAAACTTTTAATACCCTCCACCTTAGGGTAAAAGAAACATTAGAAGAAATGTGGCAAGAACCATTAAAATGCCGATTATGGGGAGGTACCGTTATATGGGGGCTATACCAAAACGTGGACCTATAATTACAATGTTTCGCCACCGGAGCTGGAACCCATTATGACCCACAAATACCAATTTTTAGACAAATCAGGGAAAAAATGTGGCAATAACCATCAAAATACCGAATATCGGGAGGTACCGTTATATGGGGGCTATATCAAATCATGGACCCATGCTTGCAATGTTTCGCCACCGAAGCTGGAACCAATTATGACCAACAAATACCAATTTTCGAACAAATCCCTGAAAAAATGTGGCAAAAATCATCAGATTACCGAATATCGGGAGGTACCGTTATATGGGGGCTATACCAAAACGTGGACCTATAATTACAATGTTTCGCCACCGGAGTTGGAACCCATTATGACCCACAAATACCGATTTTCAGACAAATCCGTGAAAAAATGTGGTAAAAAAACTAAAATACTAAATATCGGGAGGTACCTTTATATTGGGGCTATACCACAACGTGGACCTATATATGCAATGTTTTGCCACACGCTCAGGGACCCGCTATGACCTACAAATACCAATTTTAAGACAAATCCGTGAAAAAATGTGGCATAAATCATCAAAATACCGAATATCGGGAGGTACCGTTATATGGGGACTATAGCAGAACGTGGACCGATATATCTCATTTTCAATACCAACCATCCTAGACACAATGCAAATACCTCTGCTAAATTTTGGAGCTCTACGTCAAATAATGTGGGCTGTATCGTGACTTCAACAGACAGACGGACATCGTTAAATCGACTTAGAATTTTATGCTGATTATGAATATATATACTTTATGGGGTCTAAAACGAATACTTAGGGATGTTACAAACGGAATGACAAAGTTAATATACCCTCCTTTCCAAGGTGGAGGGTATAACAAGTAAGCAAAGGCTAAAGTCGTGCGGGGCCGACCATGTGATACCCTACAACACTACAATATATTAGAAGCCCCCTTATGTCTAAATCCAAAATGTCCTTATGTCCAATTTTAAAATTATATCACATAGCACTGTCCATATATTACCTTAGCATTTTGCCCACTTCATCGTGCTGTTAGTTGTTGTGGTCTACTTTACAGCTAAATATTATCCAATGGTCATCCAAAATGCTAGACTTCTTCCATGTCTCTCTTCTCAGGAGTGTTTATTGGCTTCAATTGTTTGATCAGGAAATTTTTTCTATTTTTGGGTTATTTGAACCCTTAAATATTTTACGATCAGCTCCAAAAGTAAGAGTCCTCTATGCATGTGTACTATATTTGGCTATATTCGTGTACTTCGGATATCACCTGTAAGTAATGTTGGTATTTTTTCACACAAAAATAGTGGTCCATTCCACCCGCCGTCCTAAACTCTAACTTCATGCGAGATTTTGGGCCCTTTGGTTTCTATTTGTGACCTTTATAACGGCTGGAAAACCAGGAACATTTTTAGTTGTTGGTCCATTTCAACCCCTAAATATATTTCGGGCATCTTTGAAAACAATAAGCCTTGCCCTATTGTGAAATTTTTCGTGAGAATGGGACGATAATTGCAATCTGTATATAACAGCCTCAACCTGTGTTGTATCGCATGCGATAAAAAATATGAAAAAATAAAAAATGTCACAAAACACTACAAAATCTATGTTAAAATCATTATTGGCATATTTTTCTGCAATTTTTTTAGATTTTATACTTTTATGTCGGTCCAGCCATACTTGTGATATAAGCATTCTAAATAACATCCCCTTCCTTTGTATATGCATATGGTATATATTCATCATCTACGTAACGGTCGGAATTGACCTCTTCATCTATTTGTGATTTCGCCGGGATTAAAAATATTGTGACCTATTTCACCCACTAAATATTACCCGATGACCATCAAAATTGGAAGTTCCGATTTGATTGGTCTATAATTGCGACCTGTAGAGCAACTGCAAAATCAGGATTTTTTTCAGTTTTTGGTCCATTTCAACCCCTAAATATTATGCGATCATCTCCAAAAGAAATAGGGTTCTATTCTGACCCTAGCCCCACCTCCATTCTAAATTTTGTGAAGATCGGGCCATAATTGCGACCTGTAGAGTGATTACAAATTAACATGGACAGACGGACAGATGGACGGACGGACATACATAGCTAGATCGACTCAGCTTGGCGAGATAGGAAAATCCATATATACTTTCCTATGTGGGAAACCAATATTTCGTGGTGTTACATAATTTTTGGCCCAATCAAACTTATAATACCCCCAACACATAGTGTTGTAGGGTATAATTATTATTAATTATTTTCAAAAAAAAAAAAATGCCAACTTTGAGTAAACATGGGAACCATTTTTAGAATTCACTCTGGAGTTTCCTACATTAAAAGAACATTAAAAATAATTTTCCACTTGAACGGACATTTCAATTAACTAAAAAAACTTGATTCAATTTTAATTATTATACATATTTTCGGTAAATAAACAATTCGACAATATTATTGAATTATTTTAGAATGCAGCAGAGTTTCCGATGATCAATAGAATTACACGGTTGCAACAATGATATTGCGTTTTATTTTTCTGTTGAGCGTTTGTGCGACAGTAAGTCTTACTCTGATCGATGAAATAAAACAATCTGTCTTGGGTTCTGTTTATTTTAGATAATCTTTGGCGAAACTATTCTTAAATCTACGAAAATTGTGTGTGAAACACATCCGAACTATATACACAATCACACATGTGCCCTGAAGCCGATTAATCGCTATAGAACCTATATTCAAATGGACTGTTGGATAAAGAAAGAATTGACAAATACATCGGTAAGTGGGTTTAATTTGGTCATGCGTAAATCTGGTGATTATCAGGAAATAGTCAATATAGTCCAAATCTGCCACGTTGTAATATTTATATCAGACGTCAGGTACGAAATAGAAAATATTGACCTACTTACTCGGTACCCTCACAAAAATGGGTCAACATTTTAATAATCATAACGAATATCAAGTATGGGGCTTTCATTAGTTCTTATTCGGGAAGCTATAATAGTAAAGACCAAAGAAAGAAAATTAATCAAAAACAAGTTAAAAAGCAGTAAGTTCGGCCGGGCCGAACTTTGAATACCCTCCACCATTTGGAACGAATTTAGAAATTAAAAAAAATAAAATCCTTAAAAAATTCTGTTGAATTTTAAAAATACCGAATATTGCCGTTATATTGGGGTCTATACGACGTGGACCTACATAGGCATTGTTTGCCATTAGCCATTACCATATTCAAATTCGAAACTTGAAATAAACGGTGAATAATGTAGCTTAAATCATCAAAATATCGTATATAGGGAGGTACCATTATATCGGAGCTGTGCGTAGACCTGGACCTGCATAGACATTTTTCTGTCACAGACTGTAGTTCAAATTACGAACTCTAAATACGTAATTTGAAACAATTCCGGTGAATAATGGCGCTAAAATCATCAGAATACCGAATTTTGGGAGGTACCGTTATATGGGGGCTATACGAAGACCTGGACCTGCATAGACATTTTTCTGTCACAGACTGTAGTTCCCATTACGAACTCTAAATACGTAATTTGAAACAATTCCGGTGAACAATGGCGCTAAAATCATCAAAATACCGAATTTTGGGAGGTACCGTTATAAGGGGGCTATACGAAGACGTGGGCCTGCACAGACAATTTTCTGTCATAGGCTGTAGCATTCATTGCGAATCTCAAATACCAAATTTGAAACAATTCCGATGAATAATGTCGCTAAAATCATCAAAATACCGAATATCGGGAGGTACCGTTATATGGGGGCTATATGAAAACGAGGACCTACATGGCCCATTTACGAACTTAACTTGCCTACTTGAAAAATAAACACGTGTGCAAAATTTTAGCCTTCTATCTCAATTCTTTCGAAAGATAGCGTGGTTACAACAGATAGACGGACAGACAGACAGAAAGACGGACGTGGCTAAATCGACTTAGAATTTTACGCTGATCAAGAATATATATACTTTGTTGGGTCTGACATGAGTATTTCGAGGAGTTACAAACGGAATGACAAAGTTAATATACCCTCCATAGTATGGTGGAGGGTATAAAAAATGTGCAAACAAGTTAAAAGGAACCAGTCGGTTTTGTCGACAGATGTAAACCTCCAGTCTTGAGTTATGATCATTCACACGGGTTGACCCATTATGGGGGAGGTTCCGAAGCAGTTGGCCAATATTGTCCAATTCGTATCTGACCTAAGTCTATATTAAGTCATATTTGGACTATATCGTCTTCTTCCTATACTTTATATGAGATGTCTGTATATTTTTGAAAAATTTAGAAATATGCGTAAGGTACCAGATACAGCGGACCAAAATATTCCACTTCTTCTAATGCTGATAAAAATATTGGTGTGTGAAAAATGTAAAGGAAATTGAACATTTATATTCAATTTTATGAGAAATCATAAATTCAGATAAATTACATATTCATATCAGATTTCTGGCTAAGAGAAATATTTGCTATAGCAAGTTTTATAGAATCGCCGATTTGTTTCGCATGTTATGATAGATATAAGAATTGGACATTGTGGGTGAGATACTAGAAGGGGTTGGCAGATATCTATCATCTTCATAACAGATGTTTGGATGTGTGAAGTTTGAATAAATTTGGATGCTTATTTCGTCTTTTATAAGCGTTTTTTTTTTTCAAAATTTTTAACCCTTTATGGGGAAGTACCAGAAGGAGTGCGTAGATATATCCCATTTTTATGGTCGTTTCGGTTATTCAAAATATATATTGCATAGACAGAGAAAGGATAATCCTATTTTGCTCCAACTTTGCGAATCCTAGAATTTGCTTCAGTGCTAGGTCAGGTGTGAAAATGGAAAATATCGTTCGACTCCATCAAGTACCTCCCCCACAAAGGATCAAAATTCTGAATAATTACAACACTTGTAAAATGTCATACAAGCGTCCGATTGTCTTCAAATTTCCCACATCCCAATATTTATATTAACCCAAGGTCTGATGTTAAGATAGACAATATCAGTCCATTCCTTCCTTTTCAAAAAATATATTTTTTGCACAGAAAGAGAAAGGATAATCCGATTTTGCTCCAACTTTGTAAATCCTAATATTTGCTTCAGTGCTAGATCCGGTGCGAAAATGGACAATATCGGTCCTCTCCTTCTTGTACCTCCCCCACAAAGGGTCAACATTTTGAATAATTACAACTCTTATAAAATGTGATGTAAGAGTCCGATTGTCTTCAAATTTCACACATCCCAATATTTATATTAACCCAAGATCTGGTGTTAAGATGGAATATATCGGTACACTCCTTCCGGTACCTCCCCCACAAATGACCGAAATTTTCAAAAAAAATATATTTTCGGCACAGAAGGTGAGACGATCATCGGAATTTGCTCCAACTTTGCAAATCCTAACATTTGCGTCAGTGCTAGGTCAGGTGTGAAAATGAACAATATCGGTCCACTCCTTCTGGTACCTCCCCCCCAATGGGTCAAAATTTTAAATAATTACAACTCTCATAAAATGTGATGTAAGAGTCCGATTGTCTTCAAATTTCACAGATCCCAAGATTTGTACTTACCCAAGGTAAGATGGACTATATCGGTCCACCCCTTCTTGTACCTCCCCCACAAATGGTCGAAATTTTCAAAAAATAAAATACATATTTTTTGCACAGAAAGAGAAACGATAATCTGATTTTGTTCCAACTTTGCAAATCCTAATATTTGCTTTAGGGCTAGATCCGGTGCGAAAATGGACAATATCGGTCCACTCCTTCTGGTACCTTCCCCACAAATAATTTCAAATAATTACAACTTTCATAAAATGTGATGTACGATTCCGATTGTCTTTAAATTTCACACATCCCAACATTTATATTAACCCAAGATCTTGTGTTAAGATGGAATATATTGGTCCACTCCTTCTGGTACCTCCCCCACAAATGGTCGAAATTTTCAAAAAGTACATGTTTTTGCACAGAAAAAAACGATAATCCGATTTTGCTCCAACTTTGCATGTCATAATATTTGCGTCAGTGCTAGGTCTGGTGCGAAATTTGACAATATCTTCTGGTACCTCGTTCACAAACGCTCAAAATTTTGAATATCCATGAAGTTAAAAAAAGCGAAATCAACATCCGATTCCATTCCAGACATGGTACAGGGTTGCCCATATTCGACGGACCCATCTGGCAACGCTTAATGACATACCGCGTTTGAAGCGTCAGTCCAAGCAGATTTCTACCATGAACCAATACACGCCAAGCGAGCGCTCTGAAATAGTTGAAATTTACATTCAACAGAAGAAGTCAATTGTGAAAACTCAACGTGCTTTTAAAACATTAAAAAATGTGAGAAGTGCGCCTTCTAAGAACACCATTAAGCGTTTATACGAAAAATTTTCGACTGGTAAGGCTCTTTCTAATCCGAAGAGGCCATATAAAAGTCGATCAAGGCGATCGGCCGAGAATATCGCTGCCGTACGAGCCAGTGTTGAGAGGCCCCCAAGAACATCCCAAAAACGCCGTTCTCAGCAGTTGGGCATGGCTCGGTCCACTTTACAACGGATTATTCGCATTGATTTGCATTTGTTCCCGTACAAAATTCAATTGACGCAAAGAATGTTGCCTGCGGACAAGCCTCGTCGATTGGAATGGGTCCAAAGGTCCGTCGAATATGTGCAACCATGTACATCTAAAATATTTCCATCAACACGCGATCTGTTATAAAGATGGTAAATATCGGACCATTTCCACATAGCGTTCAAATTTTGAAAAACAAAACGCTCAAAGAAGGCGGAATAGGAATCCATCTCTCTTCAAATTTCACACATACAAACATTTTTGCTAACACAAGATCTGTTGTGAAGATGCTATATATCTGCAAACCCCTTATGGTACCTCACCCACAAAGGGTAACAATTTTCAATACTTTTAGCTGTCATAACTTTCGAAACAAGTCAGCGATTCTTTACAACTTGCTATATCTAAATATTTCTTTCAACCAGAATCCTGAGATGAATATGGAATTTAAGATTTCCCATAAATTGGATAGAAATGTTCGATTTTCTTATATATTCATAATAATATTAGTATCATATTTATTTAGGTGCGATATGAAATGGACAATATTGACCCATTCTTTGTTTTGCTGGGGGTATTTATCTGTCGGCAAAACCGACCGATACTTTTTTACTTGTTTTTTTTTTTTAATTTCGACCTTTTTGGGGAAGTACTTGTCCATCTCCAAACTTAATCGATAATATTATTCGATAATATTATTACGATGTAGCAAGTTTGGACCAAATCGGATATTGCCTTCGTGAGTCTTCGTGCGCACCAGCCAGCCAGACAGACGGGCCGACGGACATCGCTAGATCGACTCCGAATGTCTTGAAACGGATATGGTGCAAAGAAACCTAGGATCTAAAACCGTTATTTCACGTTTTGGCCGTATCATATGACATATACCCCTTCTAGCCATATGGTATAAGTATATATATATAAAAATGTGTAAAAAAGATGTACTTAAACGGCTGAGTGTATAGACAAGTTTATACAAATAATGCTGACAAATACTAATAATTTGTATGAGATTTAAAAGAAGTCCGTATTTGTACCTGCTGTAAGACTGATACTAATAATAACATGTGCCAAGTTTTAACTATATCAGGTAATTCCAATACGATTTGTTATATTCTGAACTTTTATTGGGTTATGGCAGGGGTGCTCAAAACCGTGTTCTAGAACATGAGAGAAGTCACACACATCCTTATTCTCAGTGAATCAGTCGCTGTTGAGATGTCAACAAAGCAACATGTTAGCGGATGGTGTGCGCATTATTTTCATGTATGCACTGCACGAAATAAATATGTAAATATGTGGGGGAAATATTTTATGATTAGTAATGCATATGACCAAGCACAATGTTTGTTTTGCTTTTAAACAATAAAAAATAAATTAGAGCGTGACATTAAAAATCATTTTATTAAATTTCATAGAGAGATTTCCGAGTTAAGAGAAGAGGAAAAAAGAAATTTGTTTGTACAAAAAAAGAATAGTTTTGTACAACAAATAAAAAACTGGCTATATAATTTAGATAAAGATGAAAATAAGACCAGTAAGAAACAATTAAAACAAGAAATTTCAAGAAATATATGTCTTGACATTATTAGGCAGGGAAGGACGTTTACTGATGGCCCGTATATAAAAAAAATTCTCATGAACACCATGAACAGTCTTACTCGTGACCTAAAATTTACACAATCTTTGCCTTTATCCCGTCAGAGTGTTGCCCGCAACTGCCTCCTGTTAGGATCAATTATTGAAAAACAGTTAATAGACAAATTAAAAAGTTGCGTATATTTTTCATTTGCGATGGACGAAAGCGTCGACATAAATGACATAAGCCAGTTAGTTATTTGTATTCGATGCATAGACAATGACTATAAAACATTTGAAGCAATGTTTACTCTAATTCCGTTACATTCCAATGTAACTGGAAAGGTACTTTTTGATGTCGTAAAGGAAAAACTTCTTTCAATTGTCGACTCTAATAAATTGGCTGGTGTTTGCACTGACGGTGCGAATGTAATGTGTGGAAAAAAGATTGATTTATTGGCTAATTAAACAAGTATGATTTTCAATTTGAAAACTTTCACTGCATAATCCATCATGTAGCCCTAGCATCAAAATTTATGACCAACCTTCCACCAATGAAAAAGGCGGATCAAATTATTAAAAAGATTAGAGGGGGACATCACTCTTTAACACACCGAAAACTAGTAAAATTCTTGAAAGATAAATCGGCGCCATATCATGATTTAATTATGTTCAGTGAGGTACGGTGGTTAAGTCGAGGCGATTGTTTAAACCGATTATTTGCTTTAAAGAATGAAATAATGGAGTTCTTAGAATTGGAAAAAATGGAAGAGTACAACATAATAAAAGATAAAAATTTCATAACTGACTTGGCATTTTTGGCAGACATATCATGCATTCTGAATGAATTAAACAAAAAACTGCCAGGAAAAGGCTCCACTTTAAATAATTTGTGGAAGTTAGTTGTTGACTTTAAAAATAAGTTTAATTTTTTAAAGGAAGATTTAAAATCAGATATCTTCACAAATTTTACGAGAACTGCACAAATTCAAAGCCAAGACTATTGCTTAAAAAAACAAGAACATATATCAATCATAGAAGAACTTGCTAATAACATGCAACAAAGATTCAACGATTTCAAACTAATTCAACCAATGCTGGACATGTACGAAAATCCATTTACATGTGATGTATCTCAATATCCGCTACAATATCAAACGAAATTGATAATACTACGTAGCGAAATGGAGGCCCCACAAGAAATCGAACTTGATGAGTTTTGGAAAAGCATCGACAAAAATGATTATCCTTATCTAAAAGATATATCATATAAATGTGCATCATATTTTGCCTCAACTTATATTTGCGAACAAATATTTTCTGACCTAAAGTATATTTGCTCTAAATATAGAAACAAATTAGTCTCCACACAGCTGAGGAGCATTTTATTAATAAGAAATGCTGGCATTTCCTTTTAAAGCAACAGTCTTAATTTGTGAAAATTATACATTGTATGATTAGATATGATCTTCCAAAACTTACAAGCTTTATATATTTCCTGTATGGAATGTAAATAATTGCAATATTTTAAAATTTCTTCATAAAATTAACTGTTATTCAAACACTCAGCACACAGTTTACGTTTTATTTATTCCAAGTACTAGAAATTTTGAATTCAAGACGACATTGCTAAATAATACATACATTTTTTGCCTTATGTATAAATATATATTCAATGACAAGTGGTTTTCTCCACAAATATTTTACTTAATTGATGAATTTTATCTTTTATTTCGTATTCCTATATTTTTAACTAAAAAATACTGCATGTTTTTTTTATCAAATTTTAGTTATTTCATACCATTTTGTTTAAAACGCACTTTATATTTTAATATTATTAGCTTTTATTTTGGTCTTTGAAACTTATTTGAGCTTCCACTGAATTATTTAATTTTTTATTTGAGATATAATTAAATTTAACGAAATATTTCCTCACATCTTTTTTGCAGATGAATAAAAGATTTTTCTTGCAAAATTAAAAGATCGTGACATGTATCGAATTCAATTTTTTTCTCTTGCAAAAACATACAAAAACTGCAACCCATAAACTCGAATCACTATTGACTGCTATCTATAAAATTTCTCTTGAATTAACACACTTTGTTTTTTTGTGTAATTTTTTTTTTTTTTTTCATTTTACCGTCAGACCATGTATATCTTGCCTGCCATTTCTTACAGTGCATATTCTGTTACTCTCACGCACACAATGAGAATCAGATACTCTCTTCGAGAGAAATCAAATGGCTATGAGACGAACATGGCTACATCGACCACAAATAACCTGAAACGAATCTCATGCAATGAGGCCATTATTTCCATAGGACACATTTCGCTCTAAAGCTACAAGGCTGCGGGCATAGAAATGACAATAAATATTCAAATTTTCTACATATTTTATATTTTTCCATTTTCAAGGTAAACTTTGCCGTATACACTCGAAACAGCGCAAACATCTACAAACCGTTTCTAATTAACGCAACCATTAATGTTTGTCAGCTCTATGCTAAGAATATGCAGGGTCCATATGGAAAGATTTTAAAAACTATATTTACTAGATTTACGAATATTAATCACTCCTGTCCCTATTCGGTAAGTTCATATATATATAGATCTACACATGATAGAATTAAAAAGGTAATCTTATGCAACATTTATTCAATGTTATGCCTCTGACAACTCATTTGCAAAGTGTAAACTGCTTTAATATACCTAATTTGACAGAAAATGCAAAGTTGCATATGATATTTGAAATGCTTTTACCTTCTTAATTCTACAGAAGAACTTATTCTCTCCAAATTTCTAGGAAATGGATTCGGAAATTATTATTTAATTGAAAATATGAAGAACATTTTTGTCCGTGAATTCTAGTCATTCCATTATTTTTTTTTTCGTTACAGGGCAACATTGTCGTCAAAAATGCCTATTGGGATACTTCGCTTTTGCCGGTGGCTTTACCCCCAAATTCATATAAAATTGTTTTAACATTTTATGAAGATTATCCAAAAACAAATTATGGTTTTGTGGCATACTATATTGAATATATAGATATAAAAGCTAAGCCCCGTAAAGGATAAAGGAAAAGTGGAGGAAATTCTCTGCTGAAAGAAAGCAAATCTCATAGAAATATAAATGTTTACATAAAGAAATATACATATTAAACCTAAACGTAGATTTTTCCTCTTATTTTAGAAAATATTTATTTATTTATTTTTTTTTTTTTTGCAAAATCCAAGTGAGGAAAATTAGAACACATTACGTATATAATCAATAATTTCGTGCATTATTATGTTTATACGAAAAAGGAATATTTATTGAGAAAAGCAGTGATCATAATTATATTATTATGAAATCTTATCATGCTATTATTCATACAAAGAGAAACGAAATAGTAATCGAACTTGGCTAAAATTACAAAAAGCTGCAATGTATAGATTAACATATGTTGTTCGATAAGTGAGAGCGAATGAAGAGAGCAATTTTGAAATTTGATTTACTGAGACTATTCTTATTCGGAAAATTTTCTCATCAAATTTTTTCATCAACTGAAGCCGGAAGAAAGCAGCAACATCAGGAGAAATGGTTTGAAAAGTAAAGAAGTCACAGTGCCCGAAAAATGACTCGTGAGCTAAACATATCGCAATATTCCATTCGGCAAATATTGAAAAATGGGCTCGGGGTAAAGCATTTGAAATTACAAAAAGTGCAAGAACTTACACCGCAACAGAAAGAAAATACACTCAAAAGAACTAAAGAGTTGCTTCACTTGGCCGAAAGTGGTGAACTGCCGAATTTGGTTTTCTCCGATGAGAAAACATTCGTTGTCCATCAGTTTGTAAACAAACTTACCTTCTGTTAGCCACCAGAACTCAAGCGCCGGCCATGGTGATGGTATGGGCCGCCATAACAGCAGATGGTCGCTCTCCGCTCGTATTAATCGACCGTGGCATCAGAATAAATGCCGAATATTATCGCGAAAATATTCTGGAGGGTGTATTAAAGTCTTGGGCACGCAAACATTTTGGCCGCAGACCTTGGACATTCCAACAGGATTCAGCACCATAGCACTCAGCACGCGCCACCAGCGCACAATGGCCACCAAATTCTCTGGATACCAATCCGTTGGACTATTGTGTCTGAAGTATTTTTGAAAGCAAGGTTGGCACTAACAAACACCAAAGTGTCGATTACCTCAAGCAAGCGCTTCGCCGGGAATGGGCCAAAATACGGCAGAGCAACATTCGGGCAGCGTGTGACGGTTTCTTTGGCCGTTTGAAGGCCATAATTCGTGCCAAAGGTGACCAATTCGAACAAATCTAAAATTTGATGATATTTCCGACATTTTTTGCTTTAAAAAAAATGTAAAAATGATTTCGTTTTACTTTGTTGCAGTTTTTTTTATCTCACCCTGTAGATATTTGTTAAGCTTAACTCTACCAAATATGCCTAGTGGTGGAGGGTATCATATGGTTGGCCCCTTCCTTGTTTTTATACCCTCCACCATACTATGGAGGGTATATTAACTTTGTCATTCCGTTTGTAACTCCTCGAAATACTCATGTCAGACCCAACAAAGTATATATATTCTTGATCAGTGTAAAATTCTAAGTCGATTTAGCGATGTCCGTCTGTCTGTCTGTTGTAATCACGCTATCTTTGGAATGAATTGAGATAGATGGCTAAAATTTTGCACACATGTTTATTTTTCCAGTAGGCAGGTTAAGTTCGTAAATGGGCCATGTAGGTCCACGTTTTCATATAGCCCCCATATAACGGTACCTCCCTATATTCGGTATTTTGATGATTTTAGCGACATTATTCACCGGAATTGTTTCAAATTTGGTATTTAAAGTTCGTAATGGATACTACAGCCTAAGACAGAAAATTGTCTGTGCAGGTCCATTTCTTCGTATAGCCCCCATATAACGGTACCTCCCAATATTCGGTATTTTGATGATTTTAAAGTCATTATCCACCGGAGTTACGTATTTAGAGTTCGTAATGGGAACTACAGTCTGTGACAGAAAATTGTCTGTGCAGGTCCAGGTCTTCGTGTAGGCCCCATATATCAGTACCTCCCTATATTCGGTATTTTGACGATTTTATGTACAATTACCACCGACATTGTGTGAGATGTTGTATTTGAACGGTACCTCCCTATATACAATATTTTGATGATTTTAGCTACATTATTCACCGTTTATTTCAAGTTTCGAATTTAAATATGGTAATGGCTTATGACAAACAATGCCTATGTAAGTCCACGTCGTATAGTCCCCAATATAACGGCAATATTCGGTATTTTTAAATTTTTTTAAAGAATTTTGTTTTTTAACTTTCCAAACTCGTTCCAAATGGTGGAGGGTATTCAAAGTTCCGTTCGGCCGAACTTACTACTTTTCAACGTGTTATACCCTCCACCTTGGAAAGGAGGGTATATTTACTTTGTCATTCCGTTTGTAACATCCTTAAATATTCGTCGTAGACCCCATAAAGTATATATATACTCAATAATCAGCACAAAATTCTAAGTCGATTTAACGATGTCCGTCTGTCCGTCTGTCTCTCTGTCCGTCTGTCTGTCTGTTGAAATCTCGATACAGCCCACATTATTTGACGTAGAGCGCCTAGGATGTCTAGGATGGTTAATATTGAAAATGAGATATGTCGGTCCACTTTCTGGTATAGTCCCCATATAACGGTACCTCCCGATATTCGGTATTTTGATGATTTATGCCACATTTTTTGACGGATTTGTCTGAAAATTGGTATTTGTAGGTTATAACGGGTCCCTGAGCGTGTGGCAAAACATTGCATGTATAGGTCCACGTTGTGGTATAGCCCCCATATAAAGGTACCCCCGATATTCGGTATTTTATGTTTTTTTTTTTTGCCACATTTTTCACGGATTTGTCTGAAAATTGGTATTTGTTGGTCATAATGGTTCCAGCTCCCGTGGCGGAACATTGCATGTATGGGTCCATGATTTGGTTTAGCCCCCATATAACGGTGCCTCCCGATATTCGGTAATGTGATGATTTTTGCAGCCTTTTTTCACGGATTTGTCTGAAAATTGGTATTTGTGGGTCACAATGGGTCCTAGTTCGTGTGGCGAAACATTGTAATTATAGGTCCACGTTTTGGTATAGCCCCCATATAACGGTACCTCCCGATATTCGGTAATGTGATGATTTTTGCAGCCTTTTTTCACGGATTTGTCTGAAAATTGGTATTTATGGGTCACAATGGGTCCTAGTTCGTGTGGCGAAACATTGTAATTATAGGTCCACGTTTTGGTATAGCCTCCATATAACGGTACCTCCCGATATTCGGCATTTTAATGGTTTTTGCCACATTTCTTCTAATGTTTCTTTTACCCTAAGGTGGAGGGTATTAAAAGTTTGGCCCGGCCGAACTTAATGTTTTTTTTTTACTTGTTTTTTTATTTAAATTGAGAGCTTGGTTCTAGCAAAGAATAATCTTTGGCCTATATTGACCATTAATAAAATATATAATTTTTTATATCCCAATTTTAATTTCATTAATGGACCATTTAAAATTGTTGACATAGATTTATATATTAATTTGTAATGAACCCGCAAATGGAAATCAAAAATGTAATCTCTACCATACGCTTTTTTTTATTAATTAAATGCAATAAAAATTCTTGTGAAAAAAATAATTGAACTTGATGGAGAAAAATACAAGGTTATCTACATTCAATTTTAGTTGTTTAATCTAAGATAAGGATCCAACTTTGAGGCTCTCATTTAATTCGATTCCTTTTGGAATTTTCTCAATTCCTTTTGTATGGCCTCAATGAGTGGTGCGGCGGATAGATCCTGAACGTGGCGTGTGGATGAAATTTGAGGCTGGATTTCGGCTGGACGATGAAAGGGGCCGGCACTCATGGGTCTTACCATGGGCGAGTGAGAACCATAGATGCTGCCACCATCCCAGGCGCCCACAGTGGGAGAGGGGGGTTGTGTTGAGTGATTGGATTTGGTGGTTTTTAAGGGTTGAGCTGTTGACGGGCGATTATCGCCAGTTTGGGTTTTCAGATTCGCACTGGAAAAGATGGAAGAATATAACAAAAATATAACTATTTATGAAAATTGTTCGTATGCTTACTTCGAGGCCCCGGCAGATGAGCCACGTAATTCACGTTTGGTTGGCTTGCGATTATTTGTGAAATCACGATTCGGCAGTGGCATGGGTAAATCATCTTGACTGGAATACATTTGTATGGCGCCCTCGAGTAGACCTTCGTAATGGTTGCGCATGGCAGCTGGATCTCGCGATGGACTATAATAATCGAAATTTCTATCGCCATGATCTCCATAGTCTATTGATGGGCGCAGACGTTTACAGGTGATGCCGGGCAGCAGAATAAGAGATGAAAAATTTCATGAGAAGAGGAAATTAGAAGAAGAAGAGATGCTTAGTAACGTTGTCTGCGTTCGTAATTACCATTGTCCAAAATATCATCGGCACTAAGCCGCTTCTTGTGCCTCTCCCAAACAATGGGTCCCACAACACCCGGATCGGGATTATCACTCTGTGAGGCAAAACGCTGTACTTTTTGTGGAGCTTTGGGCGTGGGAAATCCCTCAATGGTGGCTATTCTGGTGGCATCCAGTGGCATCTGATCATGGGACATACGTTTTTTGTGCTGATTCCTAACCGATTTCGCCGAAGTTTGTGGGACATTTTCCACATTGTCATAATAGGTCACAAAGACCGGTTCGAGAACACGATTAAGAGGCTCGGGCAATGTAGTCTTCGGGAAGGCCTTCACCGACTGCATTGACAAGAAAGATCCTATGCTACCTGAATCCGATGATTTCTCCGTTGGCTGCAAGGCCCTTATAATTTCCTTATTTATTGCCTCTGTGGAAGGATGCTGCTGCTGATGGTGGTGATGTTGTCTCTCCAGCTGGTCACCCCTGTCCGTATAAATGGTTTTTTGATGCAGCAGCTTGTTGCGATGATAATTCGTGTGGGGATTAAAGGCCTCATTTGGAGGATCAAAATTAACATAGGTCCTATCCAACTCATCACCAGAGTAATCTCGTTGGCTTTGTACCGGACTCGTTTCAAGAGAAC